GTTTTCCACTAAACAAGCTCCCTCAATTCATTCAGTCATAAATTTCTGTTCCAAAAAGCCAGTTCATGCAATTGGGATAGGTCCTGCTGCCTCTGCCCAACAGATCAAGCCACATACTGTCAACCTCATTCAGAGGGTCCCATGCAGGTTCCCCAGCTGTCAGTCCATAGTCCATGAACTCCTACTAGCTCAGGTCAGCTGTCTGTGGTTTCCCCATCATGATCTTAACCTTCCTTATTCATATGATCCCTCCTCCCTCTCTTCAGCTGAACCCCAGGAGCTCAGCCCATGCTTGGCTGTGGGTCACTGCATATGCTTCCATCAGTTACTGGATGTAGGCTCTATGACGACAATTAGGGTGGTCACTAGGTAAAAGACTTTCTTAGCACTACCTATAACCAAAGGTGCTCTGTCCTTCAGTTGTTTGACTGACTTTCTAGAAGGGTGGTAAGCACCCATGTGATCTCTGTTGAGTAAATTTGCTCTTTCTTTCCTGATTCCATAGTTCCTCAAGTAGAAGTGCTTTAGTTTTCAGTCTTTTTCTTCATATTAGTTATATTTTTTAATTCATACAATGTGACCATGCTGTAACTTAAAGGAATGCTTTGAGAACAAAACAACAAAGGATTTCTATTGAAGAACTTTAGTATATGTTTAACCTGAGGGTTTTCTTAACTTTCTTATATAAGCAAGTTATAACATGCAGGGTACATTGTTATTTTGAACCAAAACACTGAGAACTGCCTGGACCGAAAGAGTGTTCCAGACCCAGTTAAGCCTTTTGTTTGTTTTCTTGCTTTGGTTTTTTAACAAGTCTTCTCCTGGCCTAAAAACCTTGTCTTCCTCACTTTGCAACAGGCAGAAAGCAGTCACATGCTTTAGATAATCAAATGCATCCTAATGTGAGTTAGACAAAGATTGCACTGCAGAAGAATCATGCCATCATATATATTCAAATGTTCTCTGCTTGGATTTCTTTTTCCACTGCACTTTCATTTGTAGTGAAGCTAAAAGTAGATTACAATTTTATATTGTAAATTGTTTTAGATACTAGGACACTGAATAAAAATACAAAGTAGGGTTTCATTTTTAAATTAATACATACTCTAAAACACTATTTTTTCTCTTGTTGAGTACACTTGAGATCCTGTTTATGTTTCCAGGAACTTTATAATATTTATAAATCTGGAATGGGAAGAGAGAATGTTCTATTGGAGTCAGTTTCTCAAGTATCTAGGCATCTGGCTGCTGTACTTTAGCTTAACTGTGGATATTGTGTGAATCTAGCAGTTCCTCCACGTAAACACCAATCTGAGAAGCTCTCTGTCTTCATCTTTTGTTTCAGCGTAGATGCATTTACTTGCAAAGACAGTCGTAGGAAGGCAAATCTTTATCAGAGTTTCCTTTTGAAACAAACGTGAGGGAATTAGACTGTTCTGAGTTTTTGATAGAAGCACTTTATAGGAGTGCAGCTAGACTCCATTTAATAATTTTCTTCTTTTCTACAAAATAATAAAATTCGTTTGTACTTTGTCTTATGTAACTCCACAAACAGGGGAAAGACATAAGTGTGTGCTTGCTCTTTGCCTCATTGTGGCCACTTAACAGCAGCATTTGGGACTCTAGCCCTTAGACCCTCAAAGTACATATTCTTGTGTATTGTCTTCTGACTTTGCTGCTCTTATCCTTTATTCTTATTTCAGTTATGTGTGTGTTCATGCATGTATGTTTCATGGAGTGCACATGGAGAGATCAGAGAACAGCATGTTGCATTTATTTGCCTCTTTCTACCATGTGGGTCACAAGATAAACTCAGACTTGGAGGCAAGCATCTTTACCCACCAAGCCATCTTACCTACCTTCATCTCCCATATTCTTTTTTGTCTTTCGATACAGGGTTTCGCTGTAGCTTTGGAGCCTGTCCTGGAACTAGCTCTTGTAGTCCAGGCCGGCCTCGAACTCACAGAGATCCACCTGCCTCTGCTTCCCGAATGCTGGGATTAAAGGCGTGCACCACCACCGCCCGTCCATCTCCCATATTTGTAGTCTCTTGTTCCAAATTAAACCTTCATGCCACAGAAAGCATAAGACAAACTGGGATGGTGAGATGGAGCAAGCAGGAGTGTGCTGCTTCACATGTTGTGAGCTGTTAATGGGAGAAGCTTTGTGGTGGACGATGTAGTGTCTGGCGTGGTGTTGGTGCTGTCTGTAGCAGGTGTAACTAGTGGGCAGTCATAAGTCATTGGAGTTATTGCTCCAGAAGGTATGTGGTAGCCTTCTAGTAAGTTCTAAAACAGAAAAGCTATTATAAAAGTCTGGGCCTGTGCCAGCAAGATGGTTCATCCAGGAAAGCTGCTTGCTGCCAAGCCTGATGACCTGAGTTTTAGCTCTAACACCCACCTGGTAAATAAAGTGAGAGAACTGACTCCGAGCAAGTTGTCTTCTGACCTCTACACACATTCCATAATGCGTATGTATTCCATACGCATACAGACACATATGGTAAGCCAATCAATGAATGAATCAGTTTTGTTGTTGTTGTTGTTGTAGAAGCCCACCCAACCCTAATGTCTGGAGCATCATGCCTCACCATGTAAATTTGTTTTCTTCTGTAATGTACTGTGGACCCTAAAAACAGCTAGTATTGCCATGGTTGGACCTTGAGCCTCTCGTTTCCTTCATAAGTAACCTGCCTGTCTTAGGTATTTTGTTGCAATAGTGAAAACTAATGCAGAAGTGTTCACTGATAAATGGTTTCAGTTGTGCTTTGTGCTTGCAAGTTGTCCTGATAAAAACTCAGGTGGTTTTCATGAAAAGGGAAACCTACAGGGACTCATTTATTCTGTGTGGAAATGGTTATAATTACATTATTAAAGGGAATGAGTATTCTTTTAGAATACAAACCACATTAAACTCTCTTTACAAATGAGATAACTAGATTGGTTTTAAAACTCTTAATGTTTGAAACTCAGGTTAGGCATGATAAATGATTGAGAATGGCAAAAATTCAGCCATGTAATAGCTATTATTGAATGTTGAATTGAACAGAGGTTATTGAAACCATGGTTTATACATAATCAGTGTAATACTGTGTGCCATTGAAGTATATGCTTAGAGACAGATGCACTGACATAAAAAGATGTCTCTAATATACTATTTTGAATATGGGTAGAAAGTTAAGGATTAGAGATATGGTATATGCATGTCAATGTTACTTTTGAAATTGGATATTATAATTTTCTTTTTTCTGATAAAATATTCCTAGTTTTTAAGTTTAATTTAGTATTACAAGGAGGAAGGAAAATGGGAAAAAGAAAAAAGAGAAAAATATTTTTAATCTTAAATTGGAACAAGAAAGTCTTGCTATCTTTGCATATTTTTTTTATCAAACTGAAGGAATGTGTTTTATACCTAAGACAGACAATGATGCCATTCATCTTTCTAAGGATGTTTTGGGAATGCTACAAGTGGGCTTTTGAAACGCAAGTTACAATGATCTCATGCTGCTGCCCAGAGCATTTCATACTTGGAAATGCCCATCTTTAGTCGCTAATTGCATTAAATTTCTATGTCTGACTCATGAGGAAAGGAAGCTTTGATGTGGGAAAAGGAAAGTCATTTTCCCTCTGAGTACAGCAACCCTGGTACAGTTCTGACTGTGAGACACCTGTGCTCCCTGGTTTCTCAGGGTCCCACGGAAAGAAATGGAATTAGAGGATATACAGAAATAACTAAAATGTCCATATAACTCTGTAAGGAAATGTAAGCAGTGCTGAAGTTGGCAGTCTTTTACAGTATATCCCTGAGAGCAATGGAGGACTAGAATATTTTTTCTTCATGTATTCAGATTGATTTAACCTTTATGGCTCTGGATTTCATTTTTCAGATATTACTTGTACTCTTTAGGAGAAACTGTCTTCATTGAAAGAAAAGTTGTATAGTGAATGTGTTAGTTACTTTCCTGTTGCTATAATAAAATTCCAGGACTAAAAGCAAGTTGTAGAAGAAGCAGTTTATTTTTGCTTTTGGCTCCAGAGGGCAAGGCCATCATGGTTGGGAAAGCATGCAGGAGGAACAGGAAACAGATTGCTCACATTTTCATCAGCATATATGAAGCAGAGAGAATGGCAGAAGTGAAGTAAGGCTGTAAACCCTAAAATCTCCCCTACCTCCCAGTGATGTACTTTAGCAAGCTCCCCAAACCCCAGATGTTCTATAACCTCTCCAAACAGCTCTACCAACTGGGGACAGACATTCAAGTACATATTAATTAAAATAATATAATCAAAATGTAGTTGTTTGCTTTATTCTTTGGGCTCATTACTCTTTGGGGGTCCTGCCACCCAGCTCCCAAATAGACACACACAGAGACTTATTATTACTTATAAATGCCCAACCTTAGCTTGGCTTATTGCTAGCCAGCTTTTCTTAAATTTATTTATCCCATCTATCTTTTGCCTCTGGGCATACTTCTGTATATCTTTAACTCTTACTCCACAGCTGACTGTATGACTGGGTGGCTAGTCCCTGGAGTCCTTCTCCTCTCGTTCCTTGATCCTTTTCTTTTTTTCTCCTTCTACTTATCCTCTTTGCCTGCCAGCCCCACCTGTCCTTTCTCCTGCCTTTGCTATTGGCCATTCAGTTCTTAGACCAATCAGGTGTTTTAGACAGGCAAAGTAACGCAGCTTCACAGGGTTAAACAAATGCAACTTAAGAGAATGCAACACATCTTTGCATCACTAAACAAATGTTCTACACCATTAATAGATATGACACATTATAAATAATATTCTACAACATTACAATTAGAGCTAGACTCTGGGTTCTACTTTTCTACTCACAGTAATTACATGAAATCTGTACTTCATTCTTTGATGAGTGTATATGTATACATGTGGACATATGCACATAGAACACTCTTCTCTATATTAATAGTCTCTATTCTGAGTAATTTGTCCCTCATAATGCTAAATATTTTCTTCATCTCTTCTCTTCCACAGGCAAAATGTCCACTGACCGAGCTTTAAGAAAGCAGCAACAGTTAAACAACCTTGTTTACATGGTGCTAAATCAAGCCAAACCTGGTGACAGAATTGTGGATTTCTGCAGTGGCGGGGTATTATGTCTCCTTTATCGTTTAGTCTTTCCAAGATCATGAGACCTTGCTACATTGCATTCAAGGTCATGATTTTATCTGGCAAGATCATTGTCTTAACAGTGAACAGAAGCCACGGTAACCAAAGCTACTTCTTTTGTTTTACTTCGCAGGGCCATGTTGGGATTGCTCTGGCACATGTGCTGCCTTCCTGCCAGGTAAGGGCAGAGAGGAGACAGCGTGGGAGAGCTCAGGGCCATGCTGGCCTCACATCAGCTCTCTGCATCGCCAGTTCTTTACTCATCAATATGTGCCACATACTTTGCTTGGAAGTAAACTCCTAAGATCAGAATCTTAATGGGAACAAAAGGAAAATATGACCACAGTAGAGTTAGCAATATTTTAAAGTATATGTGTTTAGTAAAACAGATAATATTCCATTATTGAATAAAACAAATACAATAAAGCTAACTTAATTTTCAACACAAATCTGGTAAAAGAAAATGTCATTTTTAAAAAGTAGGCAGTCAGCTGGAGCAGAGTGTGCACTCTGCAGTCATGTGACTACGGTGAGAAGAGAATTTAGAGCTGACAGATAGACACCTGGAGGGAAATGACTGCTGTGGCGTCTGTTGTTTTCTTACAGCAGTGGTTCTCAACCTGTGGGTCACAACCCCTTTGACAATCCTCTGTCTTCAAAAGTATTCCTGTTATGACTCATCACAATAGCAAAATTATAGTCACGAAGTAGCAACAAAAATAATCTTATGGTTGGGGGTCACCACAACATGAGGAATTGTATTAAAGGGTTGCAGAATTAGGAAGGTGGAGAACCACTGTCTTATAGAATAAAGAGCAAAGTAAATAAAAGTTTGAGGAGAAGAGGCAAGCCCTGTTGTAGTGTTGAGGAAAAGCTCACAGAGCAGGGGCCCGAGATGCATAATGGAGGTGGGGCATCTTTTCCCCTTTCTAATAATTCTCCTAGAAACTTAATAGATTGACCTGGAAATCGGCTTCAGCTGGATAAATCCAGGTTTTTAATATCAACTATACATCAAGTGTTTTATGTAAAGTGATATAGTATTTTTCTATAAAGCATACATAAGAAAAAGATAATAATAATAGTTTAATTTTACCTCTGATTACTGTTGGAGGCTCCTTCTGCCTTTGGCCTCACCACACCAATCCAAGCTATTTACTGCAATTTTTGGAACCTTGTTTTATCATAAGTACAGGATATGGCCTCCCGTTATTTCTTCCACCTAGTCTCCATCCTCTACACCCTTCCCCCTCTCCCACTCTCGCTGTTACCATGCACTGTGCCAAACTGCTTTCTTGGCTCTTCAAACACTGACATACCGTACTGCTCAGGCCAAGCTGCTCCTTGGCTAATTTCTGTTCACCTCAGGTCTCTGTTAATATCTGCCTTAGTCATCGAATCCGAGCTCCCATTACACTCAGTCTTTAACTGAACACATAAAACACTATTTCTTTCTTTCACTTTTATCATTACATGCCAAACTTCAGGAGTTCAAGACATTGTTCATTTTTGTGTCAGGTGTGTTATACAGGATAGAGGATAGTAAATACAGCCTGCATTATTATTAAGATGTGAAATATAGTAATAATGCTCAGCACTAATGTCTGAATTGAGTTACTGAGTATACTGTTTTTTCTGCATAAAATCTAGGTTATATTAATAGAAAACAAGGAATTATCATTGATCCGTGCTAAGAAGAGAAGTGACGAACTAGGCTTAAGCAATATATGGTTCATTCAAGCAAATATGGAGTATTTTACAGGAATGTTTAACATTGGGGTAAGTAGTCCATAATTTCAATTTCTCTTATTAGCTAAATAATAATTTTATTCTTTCGACTAACTAAAGAAAATAATTCTGTATTCTTTCCTACACAAAGACATGTATAGCTTTTTATAATCTACCCATTGGGTATAGAGTAACAAGATTCCACTCACAACTCTTTCCCGTTATCTATATTAGTTGTTAAAATCAAAACCAATATCAATAAAATGGTAGCTTATAAAAATGAAATACTTGTTTTCAAGGAAAAATACAAATAATCCATGACTAACAATGGTTCTGTTTATTTAATCTTTCAGTTTTTGACGTTATGGTGGTACAAAGGTTATAGGCATTCAGTGAGCATCATGACTGAAACTTGGTCCTGAGCTAACAGTACCAGGGCCTGCTCCTTGGAGAAGACAGATTCTCCCTCCCTTAGCAACCATGATTCTCTGTAGCTCTTCATGTAGTAGGGACGTGTGAGGTTCTCCCCATCCATATTTGCTCTCATTATATAGATCTTGTTTAGGAGACCACAGAGTTAAGATTTCATGAGTACAACATACTACCTCACAGCTGCCTGCCTACTCCTCCTATGGTCATACAGTATTTCCACCCCATCTTCCTCAGTGTTTCACAGTGTCAGATTGTCTTGTAGAGATATCAGTTGGGTTTGGACACACAGTTGTTCTTGACTATTTGACTAGTAATAGGTTCCTGTGATAGTCTCCATCTTCTTCTTTCTTAAAGCCTTTATGTTCCACAAGACCCTCCTTAAATGCCCCCTTCTCCAGAAGACGTCATGGCTTTCCTCTATCTTTCCATCTTTTAGTGTTTTTGTCTATACTTATTTTTGTTTGTGTGTTTTTTTATTTTCTGAGAAGGTCTTATGTCGCCCAGGTTGACCCAGCTTGGCCTTGAACTCACTGTATAGCCAAGGATAATGCTGAATTATCCACCTATCTCTACCTCTCAAGTGTTGGTATTATCTGTGTACACCGCCATGGGTTCTGCACCCTCTGTAAGGGCACAAACATCCCACCACGTGTTACTGGATCTTCTGTAGTGCTCTGTGCTCTTGATTGTGTAGTGTTCTGCTTCACACTGTGTGTGTTGCTGACACAGGGAACCATCTTAGTTATTACCAGAGCTTTAGTTTTGTTCCAGCTTACATAATTAAGTTGATTCATGTATTTAGTCCTTTGGATTCCACTGGTACCATAGCAGAGCGTAGATTAGGAACCACAATTTTTATATTTTATTCTTCACAATGACCATCATATTGATAAATAGGAAGACCTTGGAGATTTTTTTGATAAAAGAAATAGTAAATGAATAAATTATTTCATTCCTGGAACTCTAAGCCTTTAATGATTAAAAAAAAAAAAAGACAAATTGTTCAACACAATCACTCACATTCGTGTTGCTGCAGAAGCTCTGTAAGTTATTATGGCGAGAGGACCAGCACCGTTCCCGACACCTATGAGCTGGCTGGAAAAACAAGACTGTGCTCCCGCCTCCTGCCTAACAAGATGACCCATTCTAGAACTGGATGATGATATAAAAATTGACATGTACAGGCTTTGGGTCTGATTAATTTCAGAATGTGATTATTTTTATTTACAATACTTTATTTTTAAGGGGGGTTTTAATTTTTAAAAATTAAAATGGTTAATGTAAATGGCTTTCCTTTTCTATTTATGCCCTGATAAGTTACCACAAACCAGGCATCTTAAGTAACACATATTTATTATCTAATAGTTATGTAGATCAGAAATCTAGACACAAGAAGTCAGTCGAGCTTAGTCTTTCTGGTATGCTCTAAGAGTGGTGGGTTCTCACTGAGGTACTTAGTAGAACTTGGTTTCCTGCAGTGATATTTCTCCCTTCTGGCTATAGGCCAAGAGTCCTCAACTTCTGGAGACCACCCACCCACATTCCCTGGTTCCCCTCTATGGAAGCCTGCCATGGCAATCCAGGCATTGATTTACATATTTCTGACCTCCTGTCCTATCTCCCTGGTTCCCTCCCTTACAAAATTCTCTGCTCTTCAAATCTCATGCAGTTAGACTGAATCTGCCCGTATTGTTGAGGATAATCTTGAACTGTAACTAGGAACATCTGCAAATGTCTCTTTTGCCCTGGCTGAACGTTCTGTTCTAAGAATTCGATGCAGCATCTTTAGGGGACAGTCCTGGCTCATTTGTTTTCCCTGCATCTTGTTAATTGTCCTTTACAGTTTTCCACATGTGGATCTTCCTGCTTACATAACTCTGCTCCACTTACTACTGGCCCCTATATTGTCTAAATTTTAACAATTAAGAGGGAGACTGCAGGGAGACTTCAGGGGTTAAAGAGATGGCTCAGTGGTTAAGAGCACTGGCGCTCTTTCAGAGGACGCAGGTTCAAATCTCAGCACTTACATGGCAGCTCACAACTGCCTGTAACTCCAAGATCTGACACCCTCACACAGACATATATGCAGGCAAAATACCAATGCACATAAAATAAAAATAAATTAAAAAAACAAATAAATTTTAAAAGTATCTAGACTACAGAAACATTAGATTCTGCCTCTATTTTGGGTTAGACAACGTCATAGGTGCTAGTGGTGTGTCTAATTGTCTCTGCATTAGCAGCATTTGTAATCACTGACCCTCCCTACCTTGTATAATTAAAACCTACAGAATAGTATTAATCTAGTTTATCATTCTGTCTTTATTTACATTCCATTATCAACAAATGGCTACCTAGAAACATGGTGTACTACCAAAAAATAGTTTTTTCCCAGTATTTTCTTTTTTTTTTTCATTTTGGATTTTTGAGGTATCATTATTGGCTCATAAATTTGATATTTGAAATACTTTGTCCATTGCTTTTTTTTTAATCAATGCTCCCCGTTATTTTTTCATGAATATCCCCATCTTTGCTCAGTAATACCCTTTGGCTTGCCGTTGAATCCTTTGACAAACCTTTTATTTAGGCGCATGTTACTTTTTGCTCTAAGATGTTCTGACTCATCTTGATTATTTCTTGCTCCGTGTGTCTGCTTCTCCTGAGTTGAGCTCAGATTCCTTTTTTTTTAAGTAAATTTTATTAAATTATAAAAGTTTCCATTTCCGCCCCCCCTCCCAACACCCTCCCACTCCCCTCACTCCCCCTCCTCCTCCCTCTTCGTCCCCCAGGGCAGTCAGGGTTTCCTGCTCTGTGGGAAGTTCCAGTTCCTTCCCCCTCCCTCCAGGGCCAGGAAGGTGAGTGTCCAAACAGACTGGATCCCCAAAATCCAGTATATGTAGAGGAAACAGGTCCCAGTGTCATAGTCAATGGCTTTTCAGAAAGACTTCGGGCCAGCCACATTCAGAGAATCCGGCCAAATTCCGAGAATCTGGTTAGATCACGTCCTCGTTCAGTCCCAGTCCAACTGGCCTTGGTAAACTCTCATCAGATCCGTTCCCTTGTATCAGTGGGTGATAGCATCCCTCGCAGTCCTGATTTTGTTTTTCATGTTCTTCCTCCTTCTGCTCCTCATTTGGACCTCGGGGGGCTCAGTCCGGTGCTCCAATGTGGGTCTCCGACTGTATCGCCGTCCTTCGCCAGATGAAGGATCTATGGTGATAAGCAAAATATACATCAGTATGGTCCTGGGCCACGGCCGATTCAGGCACCCTCTCCTCTGTCCAGAGAGCAATCTGGGGGATCTCTCCTTGGACCTGGGATCCCATATATAATCAAGTCTCCTGTAAACCCTAAAATGGCTCCCTTAGTTGAAATATATTCTTCCCTGATCCCATATTCATCCTTCCTCCCTCCCCCCCCAATCCCCGGCCACCAAGCTTTCCCCGTTCCTCCCCTACTCCCTTCTCTCTAATCCTCTCCCCTTCCATCGACCCTCCCACCCCCCCCATGCACCCGAGGTTACCTGGGACTCTTGTCTATTTCCTACCTCCTGGTGGATAGCTAAATAATCTTCATCAAGATTCCCTAACATACTACAAAAGCATTTGTTCTGTTATGTTCATAGCAGCACTATTTGTAATAGCCAGAACCTGGAAACAGCCTAGGTGCCCCTCAATAGAAGAATGGTTAAAAAAGGTGTGGAACATATACACATTAGAGTTTTACTCAGCGGTAAAAAACAATGACATCTTGAATTTTGCATGCAAATGGATGGAAATAGAAAACGCTTTACTGAGTGAGGTAAGCCAGACCCAAAAAGAGGAACACGGTATGTATTCACTCATAAGTGGATTCTAACCATAATTAAAGGTCTTTGAGCCTATTATTCATGATCCTAGAGAAGCTAAATAAGAAGATGAACCTGATGAAGATTATTTAGCTATCCACCAGGAGGTAGGAAATAGACAAGAGTCCCAGATTCCTTTTAAGTACTCAGAATTCAGCTCAGAAGCCGAGTGCTAAGGTCTGGTTCTGTTCCCCAGGTGGCGCTGCATGCTTGTGGAGTGGCAACAGACATGGTGATTGAGCACTGTATCCAGACACGGGCTTCTTTCATCACCTGCCCTTGCTGTTACGGCTTCATTCAGAACACGTCCAAGTTTAATTTCCCAAAAAGGTGAAGTTTAACCTTTTACCTAAGACACCCATGTGGGAGTGAGTTGCTACACATGACTTGTTTAGTAAAGATGCAGCAAAATCGGGTAGTAGTGATGCACACCTTTAATTCCAGCAGTCAGGAGGCAGAAGCAGGACGATCTCTATGAGTTTGAGGCCAGCCTGAACCATAAAGCAAGTTCCAGGACAACCGGGGCTACACAGAGAAACCCTGTTTTGAAGAGGCAAAATAAATAAGGTTTCAGTGAGGTTTGAATTTGAGATTGTTTACCTTTTCCACAGTGTGGCAGGTGTTGTTTATGAACAGGATTGGGATGAGTGGCTCTGTCTGTCCCTGCCTTTTCTTTCAGATCTAGTTAGAAGCAAGTCTGTTTAGGAGCCAGTCCAGTGGCAGTCTGCTGGCTTCCGCACTTTCCTGTGCTCTTCTAAATGAAATCAGAGCCACCCTTTGTAAGAGACAGTGGAGTGTAATGGACAAGTGTTTAGAGTCTAGAAACATGCTGACCTGGTACAGTATGTTTATCATTCTATAAGGTGTTTAACCTCAGAGAAGTTACTTCACTATTTTCCTGTGTTTTCTCATAGACAAAGTGAGGTTGTAATAGGACCCACTGCAGGGCTTTGGTGAGCCCTTAATACCAGTACTTAGAAGTGGCCAAGAGGCCAAGTGCATGCCCATAATCCTGACACTTTGGAGACTAAAGTAGGAGAATTGCCTCAGGTTCAAAACCAGCCTAGGCACAGATTAAGACTGTCTCTATAAATCAAGCAATGGAAAGAATAAGAGGGCATAGGGTAAGTTCTCCACAAATGTGAACTGTTGCTAATACTTACATGGCATCCTTAGTGCCTCCAGGATGGCTCAGAGGATGAAAGCACCTGCCAACCAAATCAGACAACCTGAGCTTGATCCCCCCCCAGACTCTCTGACCTCCACACATGCCATGACATTCGTACCCACCATACCCACCCACCTACACACACATGCACAAAAAGTAAATAAAAATGTAGGGTTTTATGTAAAAGTAATAATAAATAGTATTCATGGGTGTTGATTAGATTTGATAGCCATCTTTATGATTCTTCTTATTCCACATAGAAGAGGAGGAAATTTTAATTCTCACCACTTATATTGGAAGACAACTGTGTGTGACATTTTATTCTCTGGTTCATAGTTATTGATACTCAGAAACTAAATATATCAGTGTTGTAACTTCTGCCCTATGTCCAAAATAAAAAAAAAGCTCAGGACATGAAATCAGTCACATTGCTTTTAGAAACCTCAGAAATTTTTCATTATTTAGACTTTAACAATATGAAACAAACCTTTTTTTTTCTTTCATTATTTTGCTCTTGCGACAATTCACAAATAAACTAAAGGAAGCACTGAACGATAGATAGACAGACAGACAGACAGAGGATATTTTGTATGTAATTTATTTACATGCTTATAATTTGAGGCCTATTGAACAGTTAAAACCTGATAAAATGTGTGATTTTTACAGTGCATGTAAGAAATATGTAAGCCTAAGAGGTATGTAAGAATATAATTCGACCTGGTCAGATTTATATCCTAGTTTTACTGATTTAAAAATCTCAATTTCATGTCACCCTTTTTATAGCCTTGTGGATTTACTGTCATTTTGCTCTGTGTCCTTGGAGCTATTTAAAACATTCATTTCTTTGTGGATGAGAACTAATCTACCAAAAGTAGAGGTATAAACTTATAGTCTGTTGTTTCTAAATTATGTAAAAGCACAAATTATTTTTCATTGATACTAATGAAGTTAATATATTACAGGTCTATTCTTAATGAGTTAACAGAATGAGGGCTGCAGTACTGTGTTGGGCTGTGTGGAGGACCTGCCACTTTTAGCACTTAGGACAGCTTTGATTTCTGGTTAATTATTTTCTGATGTTTGACATCTAGTAAGCAAATTGTCTACAACTTAGGTACACAAAGCAACCAATAGAGTCCTGTATGCAACTACATCCTTTGTCAAGCTTTATTCTTCCAGACAGCTTTCCTTGCACCCTAATATCCCAGCTCAGTACCAGGCAGTTAGGGACAGCTCTGCATTCCAGAGCCCATTAAAGTTAGTTAAATTAGTCAGCCTCCTGTCTGTCCTTCCCACAAAAGGAGGATCAAAGGCCCCTCTGTCACTGCGCTCCCTCGGCGTCATAAATGGCATGGTGCTTCCCACAACACTCTGCATGGCATGTCACTGCTTTCTGGAAATTGCGAGGAATACTGTATGTTTCCAGTGGTGGCTACCTCCTGATCCATTGACCTTGTCACACCTGAATCATAATAAAACCACACAGTACAGCACCAAAATGTGTGTGTGTGTGTGCCATGAAAAAAGCTGGAAGTGGTCTTCTGTCTTAGTAGTATTAACAGTCCGAAGTAGACTCTGAAGCGTGGCCTCCTGATGCTCTGCTATTGTCTCCCATGAGCACATCTCAAACTGACGCACGTCTTCATTTGGGATCATGTTTTAAATGCTTCGGATACAGCACATATTTTTGTTTGCAATTCAGGTTATTTGACTTTTAAAGTGGTAACTAACTCCTTTTTGTTTCCTATTCTAGTGAAAAATTCAAGAAAACTTTATCATACAAGGTAACCTCATTAAAAACATCTAGATATCCTCTGAACATACTTTGTTTGTGCAATTAGGGTTTTGTTGTTTTATCTGAGACAGGTTCTCACCCTGTGTCCATGAACTCATTATTTGCCCAAGCTGGCCTCAAACTCATGGCAGCCCTCTTGCCTCCATCTCCTGAGTGCTGGGATTATATACATGAACCACTGTATACAACTTTTGATCATTCATATTTTTCCATTCCAAATTCTGTCTTATATAATCAGATATATTGAATTACTTTAAACTATCTAGTATGGCTTGGGGAACAGAGAAAAATGTAGAGCTCAATAAAAATCAATTAAAAAAGTTTCAGATCCACATTAATTCTCTGAGTAGAGAATAAGATCTGAGATTCCCCCACCATATAAGTTAACAAGTTAGCTGGCGTGGTAAATGCTGACAGAGTTAAGAGATTCTGTTGCTTGTAACGGTAGCAGCAGCCAGAGTCCCATCATCCTCATGCTGACTTCCCAGGAAGTGGACCGCTCGTGCCTCTAGAGGGAAACTATTTTCAAGCTGTCCCCTCTGACACGCTGGAAAGATAATCCGGAATGGAGGGAAACTTTTCTGTAAAACGTCAGGTATTGTTGGCTCTGCTGGCCACGTCCAAATTTCCCACATATTCCCCATTGCCCTTGCCATTTATATTATGTTTTTGTTCTTAGGTTCTTGCTTACAGAAACTCAAGAAACATGTGGAGACGTCTCCCAAAAGTCAGGATAGTTTTGAGTCACTAATCTGAGTAGAGCACTTTCCATCTTTCTGAATATCACCATTAATGACTGTTCAGTAACATGACATATACAGTCTAAGAAGTAATATTTGAGCTAATGCAAAGATAATTCAGTTAAACTTGATAGTTAGTTTGAATATAAATTCAGTTAATTCCACTTTTTACACAGAGCCGCTTGAACACATAGTTTCATTTTGTAGGCTAGCCCTACATTTTAGTACTTCTACTTCCTCCATCTAACAATGGGAGTCTCTTTAAACATTCATTTCTACCACCTTGACAGCTTTATCGCTTTGAACATATCTTTATGCTTCCTAGATGCTACTACAACCCTCTCCTCCCCTCCCCACTGGCTCACGCACAGCCTTCCCTTCCCCTCCCCACAGTCCCATACACTCCCCTCCCCTCCCCTCCCTACTGTCCCATGCACACAGTCCCAGATACCTCAGAGGGGGTTCTCAACTCATGCTTTTGTCCCGAACCAGAACATGGCTGCCTTCGCTGGCCAGATTAGAAGTACGCACACCCAAGGGAAGTAGTAGGTTGAGAGGGCAAACATGGGACCCTTCATCTCTCACTCACACGGTGCTACCTAGAAGGTTGAAAATTAATTGTGAAAACAAAAGTGAGAAGGTGTGTGGGGAAAGCTGGGCTGGTGAGGGGAAGGGTGCCCTCTGTCCTACCGGCTGGAAAAGAAGTTACAGCTATAAAGGAGAAATGGCACCCAGAACCAGAGAGCAGAAGCCACCTCCCCAGTGCCCCTGTCCATAGTGTTTATCCAGCATTACCTCCAGCATTCTCAGGAGCTGCTAGGCCACCAGCCCTCAGAAGGTTTTGGGTGTAAAAGCCTAAGAGATGCCTTCTCTCCTTAGATATTATAGCAAAATGTTACCCCTTTTACTTCCTAAAGCTTTACTTACTTTACTTAGTGTTCAGGTATTTTGAGAACTAGGTGGTTTTTCTTCATAGTTAAGTTGGCCAGCAGTACTGAGAACGTTTGCAAGCACCTTGCTCTTTCAGAGTGTTTTACTAAAGAGAACAGCAGGAACACTTTGGAGAAAGATGGTAAAACTTAGGCTCGCAGAGCACTGGAGCCACCTGAGTTCTGACTGCCTCACCATGACCTTAATATAGTAGATCTGTTCAGAAACCCCATGAGGACAAACAGAATACTCGTTCCTGCTTCTTCAGGTCCTATAGTTTCACATTTCTCTGTCCGCTTTTGATGCCACCCAATTTGTGGAGGCTTTATAAAATTTATTTAATCAAACCAGTTTATTAGTTTCTTGTTCTTTGCCACTAAATTTTATAGTGATTATTAAAATATGTTTTAATACATAGGGGTTAAAACAGAAATACCCTTGTTATAAAAAGCAAAACAAAAATAACGAAAAAAATTGCCACAAACATTCCACTTACCTAATGGAAATAGAGACTTCACACTCAGAGCCAAGGCAAGAGGGTCACAGGTTTGAGGCCAGCTTACTAGGATGACTGTCTGGGGGGAAAAAACACCTTTAAATGTAATGTGCAGCGTACTAAGAATCAGGCAGTGAGTCTTAGTTCACCCTGTTCACTGAACCTACAAGAGGGACCATTTTCCCATCTGCATCTCCTCTAGGTGTCAAAGGAGCACTGCACACAGTCAGTGCCTAATTACTTGGCTTTGGCTACCTGCAGATTAAAGGGTACTACCCAGTTTAATGCCTCCGTCCTTCCAAAGGATTCTTTTTCTTCTTCATTAATGCAGCCTTTCCTAAACTTGTTATACAGCAGTACCAGTCCCCCTCCCATCCCCTCTGGTCTTCTCTATAGATGGTCTTAAAGTAGACAGGGATGTCCCTGAGGAGGAGCCAGTACTCTGCCAAGAGTCCCACAGAATGACTGGCTTCTTTCTCCTCATGAAGTGTGAGAAGCCGCATTGCCTATCACGTCTCACGCAAGAGATTCACATAACCTTTAGAAAGGAAAATTAAGAAAATTGATCTTCTCACTTAACACAGTATAACTGCAAAATGTAACTGCCTTGTCCTGATTATAGATAAGAGCAACTAGGTAAGATGGCATTGAGGTTTTTCTCTGTGTCTGCTCTTAAGAACTACATTTGAAGAATAGTCAACTTGAAGGGAAGAAGTTGCCGAGTATAAGAGTCCTAGGATTGCTCTTTTCAGCTGTCCAGTTCTGTCCAGTACTTTTTATTAAATTAAGCACTACTGAACTCTCAGAGAAATTGGCCATGTCTTTGTTTCCCCTGTCTGTCTTTCAGTTCCTTTTACAACTCAGAAGCACTAAACTGGAATAAACGTACATTCTTTTCATGCTCCTTTAGGAACACATGATTCTGTGCAGATTTGCAGATCAGACAGCTGTCCAGCTTCCACCCCAGAGAAGACTCATAGGTATGTGTTCTCACCGAACAGCTGCTGGGGAGAGTGCCCAGCATGCCTGTCTATTTGGGGAAAACACTGTCCACTTGTCATTCAGAAAGCTTGTTCTTCCAGGAACTATAATGTACATAACAGGACTTGATAACAGCGTGACACATCTTGGTTGGCATCTGTGTCTTTAACCCCATTTCTGTGACGTACACTGAATAGAATTCACAGGAAATCTTTCGTACTGTTATGAACTTCAGAATCTACCCAAAGTCACAAAGAAAATGATAAAACTGTAAATGTCCACTCCATATGCCAAAGCTGATTCAGAAAGAATGTATAAAGAAACTATCTTTCTTAGACAAAAGTTTTCTTATACATATCTATTCAGCATTTGCAGTATTGAACATTCTTCAGGTTAAAGGACCACAGAACCATTCCAAGTGATAGCAACTGTTATCACACACTAGTCCCTGGCAATAAGTGAGAGAGACACAATCCTCTACATTTTCCTGATGACAGGAGTAAGCCTCTTCATCTGATAGATGCTAGAGTCACACTACGACCTCAGATTGTTTGCTTCTGGACACGGAGCTCTTGTTCACTTCCGCATACATCTCCCTTCATATCCTGAGAAATGTGGGCTCTAAAACAGGAATTAAGATAAACTGGTGGGGATTAAATCACATCTTAATTTTTTTTTTCTTAGAAATCCCACGCTGGCCACTATCATACGCTCTAAAATTCCAACATAACCTACATTTTCCGTGTGTACTTGAATAGATTGTTGTTTCTTTAAGCCCAACTGAAGTAGTTTATACTCAAGAAAATATTATATGGTAAATAATTACTTTTAAATTCTAAAGTCGGTGCTCACAGTAGGAAAGGCACTGAGACCTGCAGCTAAGGGACCTCCCTTCCTCTTCTCACTGTGCCCAGAACTGCCATCTCTGGCCTAAAGCCTTTTATTTTCTTTCCTCTTTTTCTGTTCTTCCTTCTGATTTCTCATTTCTGATTTTTAAATCAGTGTAATGTATACTTGTTATAACTACACCAGATGTGTTTCTTAGTCTTGCAGTCTTAGTCCTTGCAATCAATGGAAATTAATTTGGTTCACAGTTCTAGAGATCAGGGGGTTAAATCTGATGGGTGTCTTCCTGCAGAATCATAACATTTGGAGAAGGTATCAAATGCCAAAGGGGAAAGGCAGACCAGCAGTGAGTGGGCGAGCAGAAGCGAGAGCACCAGCAGTGGAAGGGAAGACTTCCCTGAGACGGGGCCACACGTGTCCCTTTGGAAGGAACACACTTGTGATAATGAGCCCGCCCTGCAGTAACAGCCTACATCCACTCATACGGATGGCCAGTTGTGGCTCCATGGGACTCACAACCTAGCACAGTTGCCGTGAGGATTAAGTTTCCAGTGTGTGCTTTTGGGGGAACACAGTCAAAACATAGAGATCAATAGAGTCATGATTGGTGTAGTGGACAGATGTGGCCATGGTCAATGTGAGTTTTAAGTGTCAAGCAAGAGCAATGCTGGGAAGGGAAATTGCTAGGATTGGGGCAGAAGCATATCTGGCAAGATTACTGAAGGGAAAGGGCAGGGTAGGGGTTCAGACTAAGTCAGTCTGTCACAGATCTTGCCACTTCCACTTAATGAACATTTTTGGAAACTTGCCAACCGCCAAAAGGTAGGTTGCCAACAACTGAATTTCAGTTGTATTGACACTGAACATGGGAAAATATGAGATTCTTCTACAAGATGAAAAAAGGGAAAATTAACTGTACTGGGATTGAAGCCAAGAGTCAGTGAGCTGCCTTGTAAACCCAGGGTGGGTCCTGAAGGAATGCAGAGCATCCCGTTCTGACGGGGAATGTTTCATTTTAACTGAAAAGTAGATGAGGCAGCATTCACACACATCTTTAAGGAAGAAAGTATTTTAAGAGAAGAAAGAACCCAGCCATCTACCTGTTGCTGAGGAGGAATGGAATTCTAGATCCCTCTTTGTATGGGTTTCTAGCCCACTCAATCTTCACACTCTGACTCCTTTTAAGGACGTGTGTAGTACCAACCTCGTGACTCTGAGTCTCTTGTTCATTCTTCCTTGCTAATTTCATCTTTCCCCGTTTCTGTTTTGTCTGTGAGAGTATCATTTTTTACAAAGCGGTTTTCTGTTTCAGTGATGTGTGCTCACTGCTGAGGGGACATCAGTAGACTCCAGCTAAGCTACCATATCATAAAAGCATGTCTGAGCATTATTATAATTACTGAAGAAAATGGAAGAACTGAGTCTCTGCAGTCAGTAACCTCTTTCAGGAAAATGAGAACTTTAGATACTGAATGCAGAACAGTTGGGGTTATAAAGCAGTAGTGGCTGTGGTACAGAAAGCCTCACGTCATTTTGTTTTCTAATCTATTTTTGAAATTTTAAATTTGTACTCCAAAAGAAAACAGATAAGCTGCTTGCTTGCCAGTGAGGTTTCCTCTTTTATTTCTCAAACATTGCAAAGGAAATAGGAACCCAGTACCTTAATGAGGTGAGGTCTGAACATGAGGATAATTATACTCAGCACTGCATTTCTGCCTGAAATAACCAGCACGCGGTTAAGAATTTTCTCAGGCACTTTGCACTTCTTATTTCTTCTCAGGTAGGAACATGACACGTGTTTCAGATGGGCCTTTGTCAGTATATTACTTTAGACATTCCCTGAGACGGGTTTTTAATATTACTAACAATGTGACTTTATAGGAATGCAGAACTATTTTAATCCTATAAAAATCCTATAAAGTGGATTTTGACCAAAAGTATAAAGTAGAATTATAGTTACAATTTGAGGTATACTTATCAATACATTTTTAAAAGTTAGCCTCTGGCCAGCAGTTGTGGCACACAACTTTAATCCCAGCACTTGGGAAATAGAGGCAGGTGGATCTCTGAGTTCAAGATCTCTGAGTTCTACAGAGCAAGTACTGGAACAGTCAGAACTGTTACACAGAAAAAAAACCCTATTTTGAAAAACAAAATAATAATAGAAAAAGGAAAGTATTGGTCAAGCTTAATCTGTGAAGTGTGTCTTCACACTGGTCAGAAGCTAGGCCTAAAGTAAACTACTTCGGGAACACAGCCTTTTCCGTAGTACTGATGGATGTCGTCACTAAAGATTCCTGTGTGTGCACGGGAATACATTGCTAGTAAAGGTGTCTCAAGATGCATTTCTTTGTTTCAGGGAAGCAGTGCATGTGCCTGGTGGATATGGACCGTGCAACCGCAGCAGAAGAACACAGCTACTCTGTTCAAGTGATATCTATGGAGCCAGAGAGCTGCTCGCCCAAAAATAACATGATCGTGGGTGTCCCCATTTAGAATGAAGCATTCACTCTTGATGTTTTGCCACTGGCTTGCTGATGAAAGCCCAGGGGCATGCAGGGAGTTCTTGGTGTCTTACTGGAAGCAGCATTGACCATCTTGAGCCTGTCCAAACTTACAGGGAATCTTGGAAGAAGGACACTTATTGTGTGTGCTGAAGGGTGACGGGCTGTCTGGAGGGAATGCCCTGAAGCCTCAGCTGCCAAAAGAATCACTCTCACTGGCCAAGTTTCCATCAGCAGAGCCGTTTCCTTACACGTTTACTTGATTGTGTCAGTGGGATATTCAAATTGAGTTATGTCCTTGAAGCCTTCATTTTATAATCTTCAGATAGTCACACATGGTGATCAAAACTAAACTGAAAGGTGGTTGTGGTTTTTATAGTTTTAAAAAACAGTGTATCTTTTTATAGTTTTTGTTAAATCTAGAATGGTAATTATGGTGTGGTGTGACATATTTGTATCATGGAGTATACTTTTAAATGTATGTCCCATAAATATCAAATGAGATTATTACTGGTTCAGATACTTCATGTGAAAATTATAAGTCAATTGCACTAAACTACACATTATAAATGAGTAAAATTTAGATAGTTTTTTTTGTTTGTTTGCTTTGGTTTAGTTTTTTTGAGACAGTATTTTTCTCTGTATGTAGCTTTGGAGCCTGTCCTGGAACTAGCTCTTGTAGACCTGGCTGGCCTCGAACTCACAGAGATCTTCCTGCCTCTGCTTCCCGAGTGCTGGGATTAATGGCAGCTGTGCTGCCATTCACTAGATATAAATTTTAACTAAATAGTAAATCTATTCATTATTTAATTCAAGCATATAATTAACAAATGCTGAGATCTATGGTTTTCAAGACACTGCCCTAGGTTTTTCTGAAAATACAAGAATGAACTACATGAGGTACCTTGCCTTGCCTACCAAAGGAGATCTTCTAGATCTAGAAGAAAAAAAAACGAAAAATAATTAGTTAAGTTCTATATATCATATCATAATGTGTGACTTTATATTTGGGTGTGAGGTGTGCAGACTCTGAAAACTCATTTAATGGTACTCTGCCTACATTCTTTCGTAATGACAGACACAGACAGCCGCTCCTGTGCTGCTATGACTAAACAAGAGTGTTAGAGTTGACTATTTATTTTATATTGATGTTTTTATATCTGAAGAAGAAGACCTTAAAGACTTTATTTGGCTACCACTGTGCTTTAAATACAGGAATAATTTTGATTAAACAGTATGGATGGGGAGGAAGCTTTGCAGTTTTATGAGGTATAATTTGAGATGAGAAATAACCATCAGGCCTAGATATTTTATATATTGGTACCTGTAACTACAACTTATTCCACTTCTTTTTAAAAATTGAGATATAATTTACATATGATAAAATATATAGATTTTTATCATTGTTTTATTTAATTGAAAGAAATTTTCATACAATATATTCTGATTATGGTTCCCTCCCTTGACTTCTCCAAGTTCCTTCCCACCCCATCCACCCAACTCCATCCCTTTCCCTCTCTCTTTAGAAAGCAAAAAAAAATCAAAAAATTAGAATAAAAAAGAGAGGAAATATATCACAAAATTAGAATAAAAAAGAAACAGAGAGAGGAAATATAACACAAAAAAGTCAGAAACTATAATATATAAGCAGATTACCAATAAAACAAAAAAGCCTAGCTTAACAAGGACCTGACTCTGAAGGGGAGCAGAGAGACGGATATGGAAGGGTTTGTTTGGAGAAAGGGAAGGGAAGGAGAATTGTTATAATCAAATTATAATCTCAAAAAATTATAAAACCAAAAATGCTCAAACAAAGCAACATGAGATAAAAAGTCTACAGAAACACCATTGAGTTTGTTTTGTGTTGGCCGTCTACTGCTGGGCATGGGGTCTGTCTCAGTGAGGGTTTCTCTTGTAACCACAGCAACTCTTATGAAGGAAAACATTTACTTAGGGCTGGCTTACAGTTTCAGAGGTTTAGTCCATTATCAACGTGTCAGGAAGCATGCGGCACACAGGCAGACATGGTGCTGGAGAGGAGCTGAGAGTTGTGCATCCTGATGTGCAGGCAGCAGAAGAGATTGCCACACTAGGCCTAACGTGAGCTAGTTCTGAAACTGCAAAGCCTGCCCCCACAGTGACACACTTCCTCCAACAAGGCTACCTACTCCAACAAGACCTCCTAACAGTACCATGCTCTGTGGACCAAGCATTCAAACACATGAGTCTATAGGGGTCCTTCCTATTCAAACCACCACAGGACCTATTTATTCTTAAGTGTAGCTAATATACCCAGTGAAACTCCACTGGAGAAAAGATGGATGGGTCTAATTTTGAATCCACTGAGCTGACGGTTATTTTGTTTATCTTAATTGTCAAAACTTCATAGAAAAAATCTGAAAAGCAGGTAGCTTTATTTTCCCACCATTTTTCATTGCTTTGGCTGCTTTAGAACTATTATAATTCTACAAAAATCTCAGAATTGGCTTCCCAATTTCTTTTTAAGTCTTCTAAAAAGAACAGTTGGGAGTTTTAATACTGATCTTGATCAATTTGTGAACACAGAACATATTAATATTGGATCTATAAACATGAATATAAGGCAAAGGTTTCCATATTTTCAGGTCTGATTTTAGGTCTCCTTTAATTACTTGGTAATTTTTCCTCATGTTTACCGCAGAGGAATTTATATTTATTTGTTTGATGCTATTGTTCTTGAGCTGTCACATGCTAATCTCACTACCCAGAGTAATCTCCTTTTATCCTTCCACTCTTGTAAGCTCACTTATTCTTAGATCTCAAGGAAGTCTCTGGCGCTGAGAAACCTACTACAGAATTCCTACCACCCAAGGGATCTCTTCAGTCCTCAGGTGACTCCTGGTACCCCTCCCAGGATTGAAAGCTCACATAATAATTACAGAGGGAAAAATAAAGAAAGGAAGGGACCCCACTGAGCGCCCACCCTTGTTCTCAGCATGGCCTTACCTGTGATGATTGTGGTTGTAATAGATATTGATACTGTGACTGCTCTAAAAATAGTTTTTCTCATAATTAAAAGCATGGCCAAGACTCTTTCTCATCCAGTAAAAATAAAAGGAACTGGCAGCAAGCAAGAGGAAGATGGCTACAATAACAATAATGTCAGCAAGTGACCTGGTCTCACCCCAGTGCTGCTCCCCCTCCATTTGTCTTCCAACAGAGCTCATTTCTCATTGACTTCTGGGGCTGACTCAGAGAAGCAGGTCTTTAATTAGTAATAGCTAGACTACTTCATCTAATGTGGGATACAAGTTTCAGTCATACAGGAAATAAAAGTATTTTCAGAGCCCAAAAGCAAAATAATAAGGTGATAATTAAATATGTAGTCTCATTGTTCAAGAAAATTGCAATGAATGAACAGAACTGTCCAGTAGAGCTATGTCCCTGAGTAGTTATGATAAAGAATTGTGATGCAGGGACTAGAAAAATGGCTGGGCCAGAAAAGCATGTACTTAGTTCTTGAAGAACTAAGTCTGGATCCCAATATCAATATTGGGCAGCTCCAAAACACTCATAACTCCAGCTCCAGGGAATACAATGCCCTCTTCTGGCCTCTCAGAGCACCTGTGCTCATGTGCGCATGCCCGCACAAAGGCACACACACACACATGCACATAAAAATCTATGAGAGTAGAGCAAGCTTTGCCGCATTCTTCCCACTGCCAGGGTTTCTTTACAATATGAACTCTATGAGGGTAATTTTTATAGTCCATGGTCTTTAAAACTCAAACACTTTAAAAGTTCAGTCTCTTTAAAGCAGTCCAGCTTCTCTAAAATATCTGATCTCTAAAAATACCCAGCCTTTCTGAAACTCCAGAGTCTCTGTAAAAGTTCAGAATCAACTGTGGGCTCCTTTAAAGTCAAAGTAAGTAGAGTACTTTCTTACTCTGAGAGGGAAGAACAGAGGCAAAGTTCAACAGTGTGAAAAGTTCAGTACGAGATGCGTGAAACCCTGTCATCCTCTGGGCTCCGAAGGGCCCGTGCAGCTAGTTCCATTTCTCAGGCTCTGCCATGTGCAACACACAGCTCATCTCATAGGATCATTCTATCTCCATTCTACAGGTGCTGCTGTTCTTGGTGGTGGGCCCATGGTACTGGCATTTCCAAATGCTGGGGTCTCCACTGCAACTGGGTTGACTACTCTCATTAGCCTCCCCTGGGCTCTTTGTAGGGATTCATATCTGGCTAGCTGGTGCCAAGCCTCAACTTCTCTACACGACCCCTCAATCCCAGGGCTATACTGCAGCTAAGGCTGCATCTTCACCAATAGCCTCTTATGTTGCCAAGCCTCAGCTTCTCTTAATTACCCCTTCACGTCTTCAAAGTCAGTACCACCTGTGGAACTTTAAATTACAAAATTAGCTAAGCATCTTTCCAATACTTATGAAAGAAACGTGTGTGCATGCAAGCACACATGCATGTTTGTGTAGGTCATGGCTCTATGATGACTGTCCTCGTCAATTTCTCTCCACCTTATTTTTAGAGACAAGGTCTCTCACAGAACTTGTAGTCCATTGATTCTACTAGGCTGACTACCAATGAGTTTATGATAACTCCCTCACTAGAATTTTAGCTTTACACTCTCTCATGGATCTCTCAGGATCACGGTTACAGTTCTGAAATTAGTACCTGGCACACAGTAGGAATTCCATAAATATAAAGTGAGCAATGTATTCTAATCCCTTCCCTGGTGGGGAAATGTAAAAATATATTTAAGTATTACTTCATGTGTATATCATGTTTCGGTTCACATTGGGGGAGTATTTTTTAATGTCCTTAAAATATATTAATTCAGTCCCATCCTAAAGAAGACGAGTAATACTAATAATACAAAGTGATAATTACTTTGTTATAGCATCTCAATCATTTTATGAAAAGGACACTGGACAGTTATGTTCCCTTAAGAAAAGACAAAATAAGCTTAAGCCAAAGTGAAGAAAGAAACGTCTCTACACGTTAGTTTGGCGTTCACCATTGTTAACCTGTCCTCATATAAAAGCGTGGTTCAGGCTAGTTGTTTATGAGTAGCCAGTGAGTAAGAGATTCCAAATTACCACCAAGGAAACAAAACCCAGGATGTAGAATACACAGAGATGTGCCACAACCGCTCTTCAATGAGAAAAGTCCACTCTTCACACGAGGGATGACCAGACGTCTGACTACATCTCAGTAGGGGTTGGGGCCTCTGCAGTGCCTTGGTGTCTCAAAGACATGTTTCTTGCTGTGCCATGAATAGTCAGTTCCGTTATCTGATAATAACAGGTAACTATAATTTAGGAATAATAAATTTATAATAATAATTTGCTCAGAATATCTTTATCTCTAATTTTCCTTGATAATGAGAAAAATAAGCTAGAACTTATTGGATATACAAGAAAAACTAACTTGGGGTAAATATATGTACAATATGGTTTGTATACATAACTACTACCAATTTACTGTATATAATCTGGTGAATTTTTTACATAATCAGGTTAACTGCAGCAAAATTTTGTAAATGATCATCTTATTTTCTTGACTCAAACCTATTCATACTATGTCTTTCATAAATCACCCAGCCATTTATATGTGCAATGGAACTGAAAACTTGTTCCATTAGAAATGAGATTCTAATGAGTAATGATAATGGTATTCCTTCTGGAGGCTCAACCATTTGGAGGCATGGTTGTTGCTGAATTAAGAGCAGCCAGTTGTTTTGAAAAGACTCAGTTCAGTTACCATATAGCTCCATGCCCCCTCTTGTCTCGTCCTGAGAGAGCATCCCTGGATTAGTTCTGGAACTGTGTGACTGGAAATGGCCTGTGTAGCTGTTAAACACATACTGCATTTCACGTCCTGTAAACACATGGAAAGGGACTCTGGAAAAGGTCCGACTTCCTTGACTTGAATTAGCTGTTGAAAGTATTACTTTTAGCTTGAATTCATCACTTATTATCGTTAGTATGATGTAGTCAAATTCTCATAAGGCTGGACAATTCCAACTGTAATGTTTATTTGCATCTTGTTTTCTAAGTATTTCTCAGGTTCTCTTTCAAGAACAGTTTCTGCCATCTCCTTAGCCGCGAATCTTGGATGCATTACTGAACTCAAAAGTAATCTGAACAGAATAATTATTGCCAATTACTCCTGCAATTACTAACACCACTAGTCTTGCTAGCTAAGAGACAGCAACCCCTCCCATTCTTTCTCAAAATAGTCTTTGCTAGTCTTGGCCATTTGCTCTTCTATCCAAAATTAGGACTTGCTTGTCACGCTCCAGAATAAGGCTGGGTTTTTTTTATTTTTTATTTTTTAGTAGAAGTAAATGGAGAAGAAATGACATTTTAGCAATGTTCAGTGTGATTCCTGAACATTCTACATGTGACAATTTTACAATGATTAGATCGGAAATCTTAGCAATTTTTAAAAATATACACATTGAAACAATCATCTGGGTTTCTCCTTTGAGTAGTTCCATGGGACCAATTCAACAGCAGACTTTCTCCATGTTAAGTTGTCCTTGAACTGTTCAAGGTAAATTTGGCCCGTTTCTAGAATTTTACACTGAATTTCACTCACAGCCCTGACTGGGCTTTCTGGTAATATCCTGGCCTGTTAATGATGTCTAGATCAATGAGTTTATTCTTACATCATTTAAGAAAAACTTTTTTAAGATAGGGATTATCTGTCCTTTTTTAAAGTTATTATTTTATTTCACATGTATAGGTGCTTTGTTTGTGTTTATGTCTGTGCACCTAGTGTGTGTGCCTGGTGCCCATCAGATCCCGTAGAAAGAGAATTACAGACAGTGTGAGCTGCTATGTGGGTGCTGGGAATTGAACTCATGGTTACTAGAAGCGCAGCCAGTGTGCTCTTAACCTCTGAACCATCCCTCAAGCCTAGGATTGTCTTTCTTTAATGCCTGGTTCACTGGCCTGTAAAGCCATCTCAGATATTTAGGTTAGAAGTATAGGAATTAGACTTATGTTGTAGTGTTTCTTTGATAATTGTTCATATATTTGGACTTTGTATTTCTTCTAGAATCTTTTTAAAGTTGCATTTTTTGTGAACATTTTCTGGTTGATTTCTTCATTTCTTTATTTAGATTAGTTACAATTTTTAAAGCTAGGCAGCTAGCTGACTTTGAAAAAATCTTGTATTCTTTTTACCCTCTAGGAATTTTGTGTTCTCTAACAGTTACTCCATCACAATCATATTTTCTCAATTTATTGCCTAATACATTAAATCACCTGAACCTAGCGCCAAGATAAATCTCTTTTTCAGTCTGTCTACCTGGGACTTACACCCCAATAGATCAAGTTAGACTAACAGTGTTTATTCTTTAGAAAGCCTGCTAGCAGCTGGCAGCAGGTCTCTGCAAGCCTTTTTCTTTCAATGACTTTAACTGTACAAACATTTACTGTATAGAATTTTTGTACACATTGTTGTAGATACTGGAGCCATTTGCTGTATGTATCAAAAGGAGCACTTTTCAACAACCAATTTTAGAAATATACTGATAATATACAGTAAATATCGGGTGTGATTTGACTGAGCGTGGCCCCTAAAGGCTTAAATGTTTGAATACTCAGTCCTTGGTTGGTGGAACTGTTTGTGAAGGATTCGGAGAAGATGTGTAGAAAAGATGTGTCACTGTGGGCAAGCTTTGAGGTTTCAAAAGATTCCCAATACCCTCTTTCTCTCTGTATCAGGGTTGTGTCTCAGAATGTGAGTTCTCGGCTATTCCGTCACTCAGCCATAGTGGACTCTATCTGGAATCATAAATCAGATTAAATGCCTTCTTTTATAAATTGCCTTTGTCATGGTAGTTTATCACAGCAATAGAAAAGTAACTAATACATCAGGCATGGTAGAACAAACCTTTAATTCCAGCACTCTGCAGGAAGACCAGTGGAATTCTGTGAGGTTGAGGCAAGCCTGCTCTACACTGAGGTCCAGGCCAACCAGAGCTACATAGCCCCAGCTACTGAGGCTGGCACATGAGGATCATGTGATCTCAGCAATCCAGGCCATGCTTGGCAACACTGTCAGACTGGTTTTACAAATGAGGGGGATTAGGAAAAGGAAAGTGAGGAGAAAGAGAAGAAGGGAAGGAGGAGGAAAGAACGTTGTGCTTGTAGCACATTAGCATCAAGTTGGTCGTCTCACAACAAAATAAATGTGAATTGCTTCATAAGGGACATACGATAGTATTTCCAGTGATCGTGCCAAATGAGGACAGATAGTCTGATAGAAATGGAAGTGGGTCAAAGACCAGGCCAGCCTGAGGTACAAAATGTCTCAAAA